AAATGAACAAATCCTCACTGAAGTACTGTGAGGTTGCCACGTAGACAGAGGCACTAATTGTTTTGAAACCATATATAATTTTGAGTACCTGCCACAGTAAACTTCACATTAAAAGGCTTTGTCTGTTCAGTTCCAATGTCTATCACTCCCACTATATTTCAGTGATTTTTCCAACTGCCCATTCATGAGTACTGCACCTCTACAGAAAACATCTATATGAGTAACTTCAATAAAAGGTTCCTACCTAACAGCCAGTCCCTCTATCCAGTTAGCAGTACATTTTATCTCAGATAGAGAAGAGGCTTTTGATCAGTTGGTGTCATTTAGTCGCTGAGTCATGTCCAACTCTTTTGCAACCCCATGGACTGTAGCCTGCCAGGCTTCTCTGTCCAAGGGATTTCCCAGGCAAGAATACTGGAGTGGGTTGCCATTTCCTTCTCCAGAGGATCTTCTTGACTCAAGGACTGAACCTGCATCTCCTGCATTGCAGGCAAATTCTTTACCACTGAGCCACCAGGGAAGCTCTTGATCAGTCTAAATTAAATATATACCATGAATTAAATTTTACTTCATGCAAAGTCTATAATTTCAGAATATATACTTTATCAATTACTAATGATTTACAGGTATACTCCATAAGAGCACAGGCTAAATGAAGAGCCCCTAGGTATCAATCTAAGATATACTCAAAATAATTCTAACAGTCTGTTCAAGAAGTTTGCAGCTCATATAAATATTCATATAAACATGAAGAAATAATATGTCCATATAATTTTACTGGAAATAATATACTCATATAATTTTATTTGTATAATGTGATTGTATTTTATGCATTCATATTATAAAGATATATTTAATATAGGGAAATTTTTAAATAATTCCTTCCTCTATAAAAATTGCATCAACAATTTTTAAAGCTACAAGGAAGAGTGAATGTAAGCTCTATTACTGCCACTTTATCTGGTAAGTAAAAATACCCACCATCCTTTATTTGTACTATATTTACACAATACATTCACTTTGGTTACTCTTAAGTTATTATTCACACATTACTAATGTTAAATTGTAATATTTTTTTATTAACTTAAAATATTTTACTCAAACATTTTTAGACTGGCAGTGCTGGTGCTAAAAACAAACAAACAAAAAACTCCTAAGAATTAACTTTGGAATGAAATTTACATGTGCTAAAAAAACATAACTAAGGAAGTTAAAATAAGCTGTGTTTTTAATTTAACTGCCATAACATGCTCTGCTATTAATTTAAGTAATTGTCCTCTGCAACTATAATAGAAAATACTGAATTAAACAGGCAAGGAAATATATTAATGTTCTAATGACAGTAAAAAAAAAAAAAAAACTGAGGAAAAAAATGTTAATATCAAAGCGTAAGTATGTTACAATGATTGTGGCATTATCGACCTAAGACATAAACATAATCACCCACTGTCAGTACTTACCTGTGCTCCCTCAACATACAGTTTATATTCATTACTTTTATGTTTTGAATTATTTACTCTTGAATTTTTAAGAACTGAATTATGTGTCTCCTCCAGATCGCATTTCATCCATCAAATGGAACCATCTTATATTAATATAAGACAGTATAAAGGTCAAAATGAATGGAACAAGACAATAGGTCAGAGTGACCGATGTGGGCTACAATAGGAGAGAGAAGCCCACTCATTCATGACCTTTCATTTAAAATATTTTAATCTCTTAGTGTGTTCGAGACAATGTGCTAGATGCTAGAGATGAAAAAATGATCAGAATATAGTCTCTATCTTGAAGGAATTACACAAAATGTGGAAAATAAATACATAAATGAATAACAACACAAACCAGTAGCATTCCCAAAGAAATTCTGGGTCATCAAAAAGAACTTCTATTAGAGTCAGAGAATTTTAGGCTACCCCCAGAAGTTACTTCTGCAGTAGAGAACTTAGAAATCAAAATATATGTTTGTTTAAGCAATAAAGGTTGTTATGGTATGAATGTTTGTGTCTCTCAAAATTCATATAATGAAATTCTAATTGACAATGTGATAGTATTAGGAGGTGGGGCATTTTGGGGGTGACTAGGTTATGAGGCTGGATGAGACTAATACTCTTATAAAAGAGGCCCAAAAGAGCTCCCTTGTCCCCATCCACCATGTAAAGAATACAATGAAAAGTCTGTGACCCAGAAGATGGTCCTTATCAAACCATGTTGACACAGTGACTCAGACTCCAGTCTCCAAAACTGTGGGAAACAAATTTCTGTTGTTTATAAACTACCCAATCTTTGATATTTCATGATAGCAGCTCAAATGGACTCAGATAAAGAGTTCAGCTATAAAATTTAATTACTATTGAATCCTTCACTAAACCTGTATTTTGCTCAAAAATACTATCCTTTCTTTTCTTTTCAGTAGCAGTGCAGAACTTCTGACATTCTATCACCATTTTTTCCCACTGCTGTGATGAAAATAGTACAACATGGCTCAAAATGGCTACCACAATGAAAATGTGTGGTATTCTAGTTGCTACTAATGGTATAAATGCCTGAGATTTAGTTTTAACCAAAAGCCACATACGAAGAATAAATCATATTCTCTAATTAAAAGATTAAATTACATCTCAACTGGAATAAAAAACACATGCTGTAAGAAAATGCATGCATTTGTAAATGGTACAGTGCACAAGGGGCAGAGTGACAATTTTAAATGGAGAGGGCAAAAGAGGCTTCTCAGAGGATATGGCAAAAGAATTAAAATTTGAAGAATAAGTAAGTAGTTGGAATTGGTAAGGGAAGGACATGACTTCCCTTCCTGAAGTACTTCAACTAGCCAAATCAAACAAAGAACTCAAAGACAGCAAAGACACGGCATCTTTTGAAGTATTATATAATTCTGCTGACATTATAAACAAGCAAATGTCAGCATTTATTATTGAAAAAAGAAATCCCAAAATGTTATTGAAATAAAAATAATAGCCAGGAGGGGTTGGAGGGAGAGATTCAAATAAAAAGAAGAGGAAATCATATTGAATTTCTCATCTTACACAAGGTGAGTCAACACATGCTGCTTCACTTTTAATGTTAGTAGAGAAATACAAGTTCAGTTATCCCTCTGGCTTACTTATTTCAGAAGACACTATTCCAAAACGAAAATAGAGGATGTATAACTTTCAAATTACTCTATTAAAGAACATTTAAGAATGGTAAAAATATAAGAAGTGGGTAGAAAAAAAACAAGGAAATTCCCAAATAAAAGTATAAAGTAATAGAAATGAAATTAAGTAGGTCTGTTAGCAAGAAATATAACAAAATACTGATTATGAAGAGAAGTATCTAACACAGATAGGATAAAAATAAAGTGATAAATACACCAAATACAAAGAAAGTATGGATTACAAATATCAACATCAGGCAAAAACTTTAGACAACAGGCATTAAATGGTACAAACTGATCAAATTATAATTCACAATGAAGTATAGAATAAATTTTTATGAACTAAATAATTTAGGACTAAAGTTCTCTTTCATTGATGAACTATACACAAAGCATAAGAATATAAATAAGTAAACAATATAAAAGTAAACTTGGGTCTAAAAGCTACATGCTGAATCTAAAAAAAGAGAATATACATGTAAAAAGATATTCATAAAATACTTACAAAAACAGATCATCTATCTACACTACAAAGAAAAAGATCTCAACCATATTTTTAAAAAAATTGAGATATGACAGGCTTCAGAATCTTATTCAAACTAAACTAGAAATAAACACAGCCCATGACAAAGCACATTCTTCTAAACATTCTTGGGTTAAATAAGAAATCAAAATGGCAAACATAAATTAGAAAACAATGCAGCTGACCCTTGAATAAACAGGGTTTAGGGAACATCAACCCTCTGTACAATGGAAACTCCACGTATAACTTATAGTTGGCCTTCTATATTCATGGTTCCTTCAAGTCCTCAGTTCCTACATATTCACCTCCACAGATCATGCAGTACTGCAGTATTTACTATTAAAAAAATATCTACATTCAAGGGGACCTATGCAGTTCAAATCAGTATGTTTAAGGGTGAACTGTAATTTATAAAATTTTCTCAGGAAAAAACATCTATCTTTGCATACAAGTCTGACCATTTCCTTTTAACAGAAGTAAAAGTGAAGGTCACTGGAGTTGAGGAAGTCACAGAAGTTTTTAACTAAGATATTAAATTGCTCATCCATGTGATCAAAGGAAATCCCCCATAAAACAGCAAGAATTGAAGCATAGCCAAGAGATAAGTGCCAGAGTGCCCAGTTAATTTGGAAAAATCACCAAGAGGTGAATAGATGATAGAAGTCAAGGGGTATCAATCCAGAAATTGATAGCAATTTACTAGCTGAAAGGAATATGTATATAGTGCTTGATTTCATTCCAATAATAAAGGTGTAACATCAGTTCCTTAAGGGTGATAGCCGGATTGTTGATAAACATTTATTGACCAATTAATACAAAGAGGTTTGAACTACTAACCATTTTAGTAGTTTGATCAAACCAGCTATAAGAAATACTTGCATGGAAGCTTCTAGATACAAGGATACATAAGATGTATACAAATTCAAAACAAAGAATGTCCATACGCTTGATGTGAATAAATGAACATAAACTAGGAGAGGGCAGTCAATGTATCTCCTCAACTTATCCTTAAGACAGATTTTTACTTAGAGAGCATTCATTCCATACAATGACAAAATAAATATGAACATATTTAGACTACTTCATACTATATTCAGTAGTTTCAATAAAGACTGATGCTTTCTTGACTAGCCTTGGACTTGCTAAACTCTGTTATTACCATCAGCATATAAAGTTTCCAGCAAGCTAAACGCTGTATTATACTAGGAAGTATTAAGGAAGAAAAAATACCTTGTTAGTGGAATTGATTTTTTCCTGGGAAACAACAATGAGTTTTTCTGCAAAAAAAGATAAATTTTTAGTTTAAAGCAAATAAAACCAACCAACCAGTAATTTTTGCTGCCTTTTCCTCTTGGTTCACTCGGTTCTCATCATCATCTTCATTATCTTCCTCAAAGTCATCTAGATTGCCAATGTCAGCTTGCTTCATACTCATCAAACTAGCCAAACTTTGCATGTCTTCATCCCTATGTCAATGATAATACAGTTTATTAAATGACATTGCCTAAAAAAGGGTTGTTTCTTAAGAAAATAATATTAATATATTCCTTCTCTCTAAATGTTAACAAGACTTTTTAAACAGTTATGCAAAACTACTGAATAATGTAAAGATTCATTAATTTTTAAATTGCACATTTAATTAATAGAAAGTAAATGATTTAACTGGTTAGTTAAATTCTGCGCTACATATCTAAAATTTTCTTCATGGAATTAATGTATAGCTTTCTGATCATGAAGGTTGGAAACAAAAACTTGTTTCACAAAATATCAGAACAGTTTGCAAAGCAGATGAGATCTAGACTTTAAAAATATTCAAACTTGCAGAAGTAATCAGAATAGAAATTCTTAATCTAAAGTCCAAGAATCCTTTTGGTTTTGTGGGTAGGAGTAAAAAGAAGTGGTAAACCCTGTAAATTATATTTAAATCTTGTTTAAATGTGTATTTTTCTCAAAGGAGTTGAAACTTGCCAAAAGTTAAGAAACTATAGTAACTGAAAAAGCACTTGAAAGCCTAGCCTTTGTAAGAATTACATAATGGAAAATGAGTTAAATTTCCATCTTGGGTTAATTAAAGACCATACATTTGATAAAATGTAAAAATGATTTTTATCTTAAAGTATTTTAAATACAAACTTATATAGTGTACTACTCAATGTTAACTAACCTAAGTTTTCTTCATCTATTATTTTCACCTTAAATTTCAAATAAACTACAGTGAATGAAACATATTTCTAACATGATATGTACTAACAAAATTTCAATCTAGTATTCTTCCACCAAATCCAGAAAGCTGAATTAAAACACTTTCTCATTTTACCACGATAAAAACAAAACAAAAGACACTTTTCTTTTGTAAATATGCTTGTTAACACTCACTCATCTTCTAAATATGGTAGGATTTTGGAGACTAAACTGTTTTTTTTAATTCTTCACATTTTATCTCATTTAAGCTTAGAGTTAACAAAATAATTTCCTCTTTTCAAGACAAATTTAGTGACACAAAGTCTGTATGGGCAAAAACAGTTGTATTACTTTATGTGAATGCCTTACAAACTGCTCTCCTATCACTAGGATATAACTTCAATATATAACAGTGTTCTTAAAATCTTAACTTGCTTAATTTTATCTGCTATATTTTTGCCCTGAACATCTTCTTTGGGAAAGGTGAGCAGGCAACCAATGAGGAGACAGAGAGGTGGTTTAGGGTGTTCTGAGAACATACTTCACTCAAACTGATATTTAGTTTGACTGAATTTCCTCTCACCCAAATTCCCATGAATGGTGCTAAATCACTTACTGCTTCTGCCTAGTGGAAAGGAGTCCACCTTCAAAGAATCTTCTCTGATTATGTCTCTCTTCTTTCTCTGCTTCCTTTCTTTTCATTTTGGCTTGAACTTCAGGGCAAGGTCTTTATTTTTAACTTTTCAATATTTAAATCTATAATTCAAAGTCTTGAGATGAAAGACTAATTGCTTCCTGCACTGTCCCTCTACCTCACTCCCACAGAAGCCAACTTTGCAGAGAAGAGGCTTATTGTTATCTACCAAGTCATTTGTAGATGAGTGTCAAACATCTCGTTTTGACTGACGCAGAGAATCCAGTCTAATCAGTCAAACAGACATGGCCAATTATAGTAACCACTTTCCACTAGGTCAAACACATTCAGAAGTGTGATGCAGATTAGAATGAAATGCTCGTTCTTCCTATCACCGTTTAAGTCTTAGGCACAGAATTTCTGTTTTCCTCTCAGTACTCCAAGTAGGTACTAACCCTTTCACTACACCCAAAACATACACTTACTGTTGATTTGACTGTATGGAACACCTAAGAGAAATGTTACTTTTTTTCCCCCTGCTCTAGGTATGTTCACCTCATTCTAACCAGTTAGAATTTTATTTTTTCAGGAGACTACAACTGGGTATAGGAACCATCTTTGTGCAATGCTATGCACTGCTTAAGAAGTGATATTTGCAAAAGTAATGATTATAGCAAACTGGTTATCTAAACTGTATTATACCTTTCCTGTACAATTTTTGAAAGGCTGAGCCAAAGAACATGAATTGGCAAAAGTTCCTTTAGTTCTTTCAATACTCTTATTCTAAACTTTTCACTTTGGGTTCCCCTTGTGCCTCAGTCGCATCACACATCTCTGCAAAATGAACTGTGTACTTCACACTACAACTACTTACACTGAAGACATTGAAATATAAAACCTATGGTAACCTATAATACACATTTTACATTTTTTTAAATTGCTAAAGTCATTTTTATATTACTTTTCATTCTCCAGCATCAAGAGAGACTATAAATAACAAGAAGTACATCTAGTTCAGCTTCTGAAACAAAGAATGGCAAGAATGATTGGTATGTGGTAGGATGTTCTCAACTGTTGCCAGTTTACTGAGACAAAAGCTATTTACCTACAATGTTTTCTTTAAAAAACAAACAAACAAACATACTTTGAAGCAGCTTATCTGACAAAAGAAACTTACGTGGCTTTTCCTTCCCGAAGGAAAATGCAAGATAATGAAAACTGAAGAGTGGCAGATACAACTTTTTTAGACAATGGCTTGAATTTTAATTTGACATCAGTCTGCGTTGGCATTGGGCTTGCATACTGTTTCATGTTGATGCTGGTGGTGGCAAGAGCTTTTCTTCGACCAGAAGGGGATTCCTGGAAGATAAAATTCATTATGTAATTTGGAGTTATTTACTTTATAGCCAAGTATCTTTGAATGTTATTTTAATAATTTGATTAAACAGCTGTTGAGACTTCCTTCTCCAATGAATTCCTATAACATAATACTGAAATAAAACTGTAATAAGGTTATATCACAACCTTTATATCTTTTTAAAAAAATTAATGTATTTTAATTGGAGGCTAATTACTTTACAATATTTTGGTGGTGTTTGCCATATATCAACACGAATAAGCCACGGGTGTACATGTGTGTGTAAGGCAGAGAAAAATTGGAGATAGCTGGCTCAGAGAAATAAGGGAAGACTAGAACAACCTTAAATATCTCAGGAAAGGAAAAGCAAGGAATGCAAACTAGGACAGGAAAGTGTCCAGGTCTCCAAGAGGATCTAGCTCAAAGCATTAATACTAAACAACTGTTTTCCTTCCTTTAATTAAATTTAATGTAACCTAAGGTTTCCAGGCTTCCCAGGTGGCTCTGTGGTAAAGAATCTGCTGTGATGCAGAAGACACAGGAGACACAGGAGACACCGCGGGTTTGATCCCTGGGTTGTGAAGATCCCCTGGAGGAGGGCATGGCAACCCACTCCAGTATTCTTGCCTGGAAAATCTCACGGACAGAAGAGCCTGGCAAGCTACAGTCCACAGGGTTGCACAGAATCAGACGCGACTTAAGCAACTGAGCACGCACACAAGGTTTCCTTAAAAAAGATTCTAGCACAAAGCTAGGGATCAAAAGCATTAATACTCAACAACTGTTTTCCCTCCTTCGATTATATTTAATGTAACCTAATGATATTTCTTCTTGAACCTTCAAATATCTTAAAGAACCCCAGCCTCAGTGGCATTTCTACCTCGGTTTTTTCTACAGTCTCTGAATTCTATATCTGCCCTGTACTTTGAGACTTAATTCTTCCCCAGATCTTCTCTGCTCACTCCAGTCTAAAGTTCTCTCTTCCCTCCCTAAGATCAAATTAGAAAGAGCTGGTTTCTCTGACTGTATGTCTGTGGTGGACCCTGCTCAATGACCCCAGCAGATCTCAACTCTTCTCCATACAGCTATTGTCAATTTACTAAAAATGGAACACAAAATGAAACCTATTTGCTATTAAAGATGCTTAACATTCCATTAATAAACTATCTCATTCCAAAATTATTCTTTATAGCATAACAGCCTAGAAAAATAATGAAAATAGAACAACAATATAATGATTGAGCATTAACTATATCTAAGACATGCTGTCAATTCTGGAGAGATATAAAAATGAATAAGACATAATCTTTAACTATCTGTCCTAATGGTAAGGAGAAACCTTAGGCATAGAGTAATTAATAAATAATGTAAACCAGAAGTCATATACCAGCAATCCTTGGGCTTTACTAGTCTGAGAGTTCAGACCTAAAATAAGACCTAATTTCTAAGCTGTGTGACTTTGAATAAGTCAGTAAACTTGAATAATTACTTGAAACTTGGTAATTTTCCCTGTAAAATAAGGAGACTGAACAAAAATCCACTCAAGTTCTATAATGGTTTTCTACAAAATTACTCAATTTTCTAACCAAGGCAGAAGAAACTATCAATGACTTCTGAATTATTATTTAATAAATCTTTATTTGCCCTATGATTGACAAACTTGCCTAAAATAAAGATATACTAATTTAACCAAAATATTAAAATGGCCTTTTTAAAAAATTTGACATTTCTACCAGCAGAACAAGTAAAACTGTAATGTAGCATCCCCAAAGAATACCTTGTTTTAAAAAGTGGTCTTATCTGTCAGATTATGCACAGCAATATTACACAGAACTATTAGTGCATGTAGATACCTTATGAATGAATTTAAAAAATGCATCAAGCACTTGAGAAGGATTTCAGACCTCTCAGAAGAAACACTTAAGAATATGCAAATACCTTCAACTGAATCAAGTTGAACAGATGTGACTGTCCCAAACAATACAAATGTTCTTTCCCTGGTCGCTACTGTCAATCAAAGAATAAGATTAAGGTCCAAGGTTGTGACAATGTGCAAAGTGAAAAACTATGATTGAGAGTATCAATTTATTACACTGATATGAACAATAATCTCTCATTGTACCTTTAGAATAGCTAACTACTACATAAAATATAGGATTTAAAGCCTCTGTTTTGAAAGCATGACATACAAATTGCTACATATTATTTTCATATTTGTTAAACAAATCTATTTCACAAAATATGACATTGATCCCTTAAAAGTAATTATTTAATTTTATAACCAAATAATCAAACTATAAAAATTAAGATAACTTGGAAATGTAAATAATTTTGAAAGCCTAATTTAAGGATGATTCCTGCAAAATCTCGAGTTTTGATGATTAACATTCTATTGTAAGGTCTGGGCAGGTAAGCAGAACAGAACTCTTTTGAGTCTACAGTGTCTATTTCTAATATTAACATAGGATGTCACTTAGAGCCTGTATCCTTGATAGGAAAGGGGGCCTAAGTGATGTTTTTAGTATTTCTTTACCCAGCTCAGTCATTGCTTTCCTCTTTAAAATTAGCTGTCATAGAAAATACATTTTTTACCAGAACAATAATGAGAAAAACATAAGGATCATTCACAGCTCTAACTCCAGCTCCATGAATCTTCACTTTTTATAACCATTAGGTCTATATCTGTATCCACCAACCAAGAATAGTATCATTGTTATCATCAGTTTTACAGAGACGAATAAAATAACTGCTATATGTCTTCTGTATCCTATAGTTCTTCCTTAAAGGACTAGGAGTCAGCCTGGCAGAGAGACTTTAGAGAGAATTACTATTATTACTGTTAAAGTCCTAATGCTATTGCATTTCACATGAAGGCTGGACAAGAGGAGAAAAATAAAGGGAAAAAAAATAGTAAAAGGAAACCTTAGAGAAAGGAGGTTAGATGACTGAAGTCAGTAAGAAGGGAATGTTTATATAGAAACATTCAGCTAAGTTTCTGACTCCGGGCCTAAGCTATTTATATGTGAATCTGGCAGTATTTGGGGAATTATTTCAACATCCATAAAGCATACGTTCTTATTTAGTGTTCATCAAAAAAAAAAAATAATAAAGCTAGGCCAGCTTTAGATAATTTAAATACCTGGATCCCACCCCAAGAGATGCTAAACTAGAGATGGCTCAGGAATCTGTAGCATTTCTAAAAATAATAAGTACCTCCCCTCCCAATTCCCATCTTGACCCTCTCATAAGCCCATCTCTTCCATCAAGTGATTCTGATCCAGTTAATCTAAAAATCATAGTTTCAGAAATACTTCCCCTAAGGAAATTACTAAAGGAAATTTTAATCTCATTTTTCATAACTATTCTGTCATAACAATGACTTAGCCTATATATTTCCATTTCTTTGAAATCCACATTATTGTACTCGTAATCAGACAAACCTAGATTAGAACATGACCAGCATTTATTCTCTAGCTAATCTTTGGTATATTTCTTCATGTATCTGAGCTTCAGTTTCCCACACTCTCAGATTGGTGAGTATTTTCAAAAGCTGGACGATACCAAGTGTTAATGAGGATGAGGGACAATGTAAATTCTCTTAACACTACAGGACAGAGCTTCAACTGATATAGCCATTTTGGAAAGCAATTTGACATTACCTTATAAAGTTGAACAGATGAATACCTTATCAATAATTCTCATCCTAGAAATATGTCCTAAATAAATTCTTGCAATAATATATGAAAATACTTAGTACTTAGTAGAGTTTTTAGCATATAGCAATGTTTAATAAACAGCAGTTATTATTAATATTCATGGGAAATTTTACCTGGCTTATTACATTAATATTAATATTATAAGTAGTCTATCTAGATTCACCAATCTTGAAATTGTTACCAAAATGCAAGTTTATGTGCCTGATGCACAGTGAAGCCAAACAATAGCAAAACACCAGAGTCTGGAACAGAGAAAGGTTTACTGAGGGCCATGCAAGGGTATGTGTGGCTCATGCCTTAAAAACCCTAAACTCCCCAAAAGCTTTCAGCAAAACCCTTTTATAGGAAAGGTAAGGGAAGGGCATGGTTAAGTTGTTGCACACTTCTTGGTGTCAGATCCTTTGCTCTTGAGGTCAGGTCATGGTCAGGTAACGATGTTCCTGTAAACCTCCACCAAACAAATGTTATTCTCTGTTCTGACAAGAAAGGGCAAATTCCCAAGGCACAACTTTCACCCTCTGAGGTCTAGATCCTGACTGATGAAGCAGATCTCAGTTGGTGGCTCCCTGAAGGCCAGGTCCCCAGACACTGTCCAGCTGTCATTGCTGAGGGAGCCAGAGGCCCAGGGCCCAAGTGACCCTCAGGCTCCTTAAGCCACCCAAACGGGGCCGGGGGGGGGGGGGGGGGGCGGGGCATGGTGGGGGCCAGGTCCCAGAGATGGCATCCTACGCAGACTGCCACTGCCATTTGGTCATAGAGGCAGGGATGGAGGAGAGGTTCACCACTGCTTCAAGGCCTGGGCCTAGCCATTGGATGATCTTGGCAAGGGTTCTGGAGCCCAGCAGGACAGCCCCTGGCCTGTTTCCTGGGCCCTCCAGCTCACCCACTGACCCGAGGCCAGGTGAGCTAGAGGGCCCTGGGTAGAAAACCGGGATCTGCCTCTTTCTTCACTCTCCACATGATGACCACTACTCTGCTGACCATTGGCTGAATGCCCCACTAATGGTCATTCATTGACAGCTGCTTGCTTGGGGGAGGGGCCCACTGCAGTACTGACCAATGGCTGAGTAGGACCACTAACAGTCACTCATTGACAGCTGGTCACTTGGGGGAGGGGCCCATTGAAGCACCAACCAATGACTGAGCAGAAACACTAACACAGTCTCTCACTGACAGCTGGTCACTTGTGAGAGGGGCCCATTGCAGCACCAATCAATGGCTGAGCAGGACCACTAATGGTCGTGCAGTAATCACTGCCTGGTAACAGGTGTGAGGTAATGGCCATG